ACCTTGTATGTTTATATCAAATTTTGTTAAAATTGAACAATAATTTGAAAGTAATAAAAATATTCATATTTTAGTATATTTTGAAATATATATATATATATTATAAAACTTAAAAACCTTAAATTTAATAGTAAGTTTTAAATTTTTTTAAAATATATTAAAATATAAAAAGTAATATATAGTTTAAATCATCTTAGATTAATACAAAATTTTAAATCATCTTAGATTAATATAAAATGTTAAATCATCTTAAATTAATATAAAATTTTGTATATAAATTAAAATTAATATAATATATACATTTCAAAATATATTAAAATATAAATAATTTGATTATATTTAAATTACTATATAATTTTTATAATATTTACCATAAACACACCAAGTGTTATAGAATCATAATTTAACATTTAGATTAATAAAATTTATATTTAATATATAATTATTAAATGTGTTAAAATAATATTTAATGAGTATAAATCATACACATATTAATATTTTTTGTTGTTGTTAATTTTGAGACTATGTATGATGGATGTAATTAAAAAAATCTCATATTTGTAAAAGAGAACCCAACCCGCATGTCAGTGCCAATCTAACAAGCTCCACTTTCGCAAACAGATTCCGAAGCCTAAACCCAAGCGCGGCCGCCGCAGTGCATCATCAACATCATCCGGTGTCCGGAAAAAGCATCCGTCGAACGTTCTCCGTAATCCCATTCTCTCTCTCGCTTTTTCTATTTTCTTTAATTATATTTAACTACTCGTTACTCTATACTCCTCATCACACTACCAAACTCGAGGTTTTCACTTTTCTTTAATCTGAACCAAATCAAAGTTCCACCACACCGTTGCGTCATTCTGGAACACCGTTTTCACTTTCCGTTTCTCATTTCGTGCCAACAGGGTCTCCATTGGCATAATTTCGCGAAACCTCGTTGCGTCAGACGAAGAAAAAAAAAAAGAATGTCTCACAGTGGCGTAAGGTGTGGCACGAGGCTTCTGAGCCTCACGCGCGCTTTTTCCACGGAGGCGCGTGCGCAGAAGGTGGAGCGCATCGCCGACGAGCTTCTCGACCTCAACAGGTTCGAGAGACACGATTTCACCGTCCTCTGGCGGCTCAAGATGGGCCTCCACCGCTACGGCGCCCCCGCCGCCGGCATTGTGGCGCCATCCGTCGCGGCTTCCGGGTCCCCCGCGGTGGCCTCGGCCGCGGCGGCGGAGAAGACCGCCTTTGATTTGAAGCTGGAGAAGTATGATGCTGCTGTGAAGATCAAGATCATCAAGGAAGTGAGGGCTTTCACTGACTTGGGGCTGAAGGAAGCGAAGGACTTGGTGGAGAAGGCTCCCTGTGTTTTGAAGAAGGGGCTCACTAAGGAGGAGGCTAAGCCCATCATGGAGAAGCTTAAGGAGTTGGGTGCTGCTGTTGTGTTGGATTGATTCATTCTCAATTTCACTTTTGTGTTACTTGTAGAATCATTGAAACTTGTTTATGGGTGATGAATGATGATGATAATGATAAGTGATAAGTTATATGTCTTACCCCCTTTCCTCGTTTTTATGTTTTGTTGGTAGGTTGATAGTTTTTGTTATGTGACATTCTTATTTTAATTGAAGTTTGACATTGGAAATCACTTCTAATGGGTTAAAGTCATGATTGGGCATTGGGGAAGTGTGGTTTGTTTTTGGGTAGTTAGAATTAGAGTATTGCCAGGCTTATTTTCAAATGCAAACTTGGTTATTGTTTTATTTCCATTGTCTTTTGCTTGTGTGATTGATGAATATGTTATGGAGTGCTTGGACAGTTGGTGAGTGAAGTCAGTAATGGCTTGGGTAGTCTTATTCCAAAATGGCCAAATTTCGCATTGTGGAATGGTGTCTATAGGATATTTGAAGAATGTGCGATGTCTGTTATGGTTTTAGTGACCATTTTAGCTGAAATTTGGAGTGTTTAGTGCTGCCATATGTTGCAAAGATCATTTTGTTGATTAAGAAAAAAGAAAACATAAAGTACATGAATGATCAAAATATGAAATGAGTTTTAAAATAACTGTGTACTTGTCATAGAGCAGACAATTATCATGTCGCTTAAAATTGTGAGTATAAATGGGATAATTCCTAATCTTATATTCTTTCACTCCCAATCCCTGTCCATTTCTCCCCCAGTTTTCTTAATGACTCTATCTTTGATAACCTAATTTTAAACTTTTTTATGATAAATACTGTTATGGTAAACTTTTAGCAGGTGGAAAAGGTGATTAATTTGATTCTTTAGCACTAGCATTGCCGAACAAGGTCTTTAAATCATTTCACTGATCAATGTATTTGTGCTTAACATTGATTTTTGATATTTACCATGCTAAGCTCAGGCTTCTGCACAATCATTCTTGAGGAAAAAATCTATTGGAGATAAATGTGAATTCAGCCCTTCAAAGAATGACTGAAGAACTTCTAAGGAGACTCTTAATTGTTGGCATGTTCATTGCTGTAATAGTTGTTTTCCAATGTTGTTGGACAACCTATTATTCTCTGTTGCATGATGATAGTAGCTCATTGGCTTTCCCAGTTGAAATTTTCATTTCTGGAACTTGAGAAACAGAGGATATGGGTGTGTTTAGATCCACAGAAAACAATGTCTCTTTTGCCTCTCATTCAAAGGAATATGCTTCTGAAAAAAAGGTTGATTTGGAAAAAGAATTGGAATTTGATGGGAGCAGAAATTCAAGAAAGGGTCACATTCTTAATAATAGGAGTTTTAAAGTGGGAAATCATGAGGATGCAGTTTACAGTTTCATTCAGAAAAGACCCAAGTATGCTGATTTGAGCCATCTGATATGTTACTAGCTGTAGAAAAGCCTTCAAATGTCAGTAGAATACAAACTGTGGAAATGGAACAACAAGTGTTGAATTCTCCTTTGTCCATTTTGAATAGTAAACTTAAGATGGGTACATCGTGGACTAGGAGTAGGTTGGTGTGGCCAACTTCAATAGCACATATGATCTCTTTGTTGCTTCAGAGTTCTAATTCTGCTTATATGGTATGGACTTTAGCTTTGTGGTTCCAGTTTTAGCTACTGTGGAATCTGTACGGAGTCCTAATTTTCATGTATTGTGTATTGATGACAGAGGCCAAGGTGGTCTTCTTGACGTGACTGGGAACTCTTATCTGCAAAACTGGAGATTGAAAATGCCCTTGCCATACCAAATTCTTCAGGACTTTATGCACCTATTTTCCAAGATGTTTCCAAGTTTTCAAGGTATCCTTGGCAACTCTTCAATATGTTAGATGTATAGCATTGTGTTATGGAGTGTTTTTGTTTCATTCTTATCATTCATATATCAGTCATTCAGTTGTAAGCTGCCCTGTATGTATTTGGTTAGTGTGTTACTAATTTACTATGATTGATTTGAGTAGATTTGGAATTGCTAAAATCAATTTTAAGAAAGACAAAACTTAGATACAATTTTTTGTGTATGATTGGTATTGTTTCTAATCTAAGTTTTACCTCAGTAATTTGCATTAATATATATTTACATTTAGTACAGATCTTAGAAGTATACATTTACACGTATTATCAAAATAAAATTTTAATTCTAATAAGATAATAGTATCAATAGTACCTAAATAATTGTACCTAAGTTTTGTCCTTTCAAGAATTAATTTATTGTTTAATTCTGCAAATATAAATGTGGACATCATTACATCTATTGGCCTGGAGACACCCTCTCCTACTTTTTCTTTCTCTCCTAACTTGTTCTCATGCATAGGTCTTGTTTCAGTAGATAACTGAAGCACATCTATATATCTGTTCTAAAGGAGTTATGAACTGATGGAGCGCAAGCTCAAAGTTTTATCTATAGAGAAGGGGAAAAACCTATATTTCACCAACCAAAGATGAGAGGAGTTTATGCCTCACAGGGGTAGTTTATGAGATTGATGGAGGGAAATAAAAGGTTCATTGTGAGAGATCCCCAAAAAGCTCATTTGTTTTACCTACCATTCAGTTCACAAATGCTAAGAGTTTCCCTTTTTGACCTTAAGCAGATGGAGTAATACCTTGAGAAATATGTGGAGTTAATTACAGGAAGATACCGTTTCTGGAACAGAACTGGGGGAGCAGACCATTTTCTTGTTGCTTGTCATGATTGGGTGCACTTCCAATGCATCACTTTTATTAGTATTTATGTAAAGGGATAATGTATTAATGACTCCATGCTATATTATTGTTTGAAGTGATGAACCTGAATCTATGGTTTAGCTTGAATTTTCTGCAATATTTACACATTGAGATGTATGCAATTGCAGGCCTCCCATATCACAAAGCAATGCAAGATTGTATTAGGTCTCTTCATAATTCTGTTGTTGCTAAAGGCTTCCAAATAGGGAAGGACACTACTCTACCTGTTACATATATACACCCTATGAATGATCCTCTAAGGATTTGCAGGAAAACCTCCTTCAAATTGATCTATTCTTGCCTTTTTTGCAGGAAGCATGTACGGTTATCTCTGTCCAATCCTGCTAAAACACTGGGAGACTAAAGAACCTGACATGAAAATTTTTGGTCCAATGTCGCATGATTTGGAAGGTAAAAGAATGTATATGGAGTATATGAATAGCAGCAAGTATTGCATATGTGCTAGAGGTTACGAGGTTCACATGCCCAGAATAATTGAGGCCATTTTTTCTGAGTGTATCGGTTATCATATGATTCATATCAGAGATAACTATGTGCCTTCTTTATTTGAGGTATTGAAGTGGGAGAAATTTTCTGTGTTTGTTCATGAAAGGAATATCCCTAGTCTCAGAAACTTACTTCTCTTGATCTCAGAAGAAAAGTACCTGGTGGCACTGCATTTGCAGCAGCACTTCTTGTGGCACAAAGTTCCTGTTAAGTATGACTTATTTCATATGATTCTTCATGCAATATGGAACAATAGGCTTTCTCAGATTAGACCTAGGTGACCATATCATGAATAAGTTAGGCCATGTTTAGATAAATTTCTTTGTAAGTACTTATAAGTGAAGAAAATAAGAAAGGAAAAAAGAAACAAGTTTCTTTCAAAGTTATAATTAACTATACGCTTAAGCTAATTTGTAAAATCTTTCTTATATTAACTTTTCTAAAAATGTTTTTAACTCATGAATAAATTAATTTTAGTTTATGAAAAAAATTATTTCATTTTTTTTAAAAGTATTGATGGAGATTTATCAAAACAGATCCTTTGTTGGATGAAGTCAGCATGAAATACGACCAAAATGATGTGCCGAACAACTGGATAGACAAAGTTCTTTCTCATGCTTTCAATATGTCAGGGCACTAATAAGCCAACCTGCATTTTGGATTATCCGGTTGAACTTGACCCTCTCTGTAAACGGTTGGGCCATAACCACTTTTGATAAATTTCCATAAGTACTTTTATTTACAACTTGTGTTTTGTTTTTTATTTGTGAATTTTTACAACTTCTGTTGGGATGTTAAGTTGCCAGATAATTAAACAAGCTATTACATTCATTATGTACAAGTATGAAATATGTGGGAGTTCAAACAATTATTCTGCGGGAAAATATTTATTAAACTTCAATGAAATGTTTGTCGGGTTGTTGTATGTGTATTTCTGCGCTAAATGAGCTGTCAACTGTCGCTTTCACGTAATTCTACAATTTGACATCAAAAATAGTGTATCCAAATCAGTTGTTTTTTTACTAGCAAAAAAGAGCTAAGTTGAGACTTTCCCAAGTATGATATTCTGTCTCAAGAAGTCTCTTTGTAAAGCATGACATTAATGTATTTTTGCACAATGTCAACAATATTGCACTGTGGTACTTTAAGAGGTACGTGTAGATGCAAAAAAAGTTTTATAGTCACTACTTCAACACTTTGTCAATAAAGTCGGCAACACGTTTTTTGCAACCTCAAATTGTTGGTGTTCAAAAGGCAAACTATGAAGTCACAAAAAGAATTGCTTACAGATACAAGATCTATAATTTTTGCACTTTTATGGTAGTAGATAACTACTTGCAGTTTGAGATGCTTATGAGTGTGGCCCCAATAGTTCATTTTCCTCTCACTTTACAATGACAATGAAAATTGAATTTAAGTTTTCATTCATCTATTTTAATTCCTCACCTACTAAGGAACTAAGGAAGCAGGTGACGGTCATTTGGGAATGGCATTGTTGTTGGTTATAGAAGTTCTTGTGGTGTTATTTATGATCAAGTTTCGGGTGGAAACCATGTGTAGTCAGAGAATAGTTTCACCTCAATTTCAAAATGGGTGCCAAATGTTCGTACCTAGATCTTGCAGATGCTCCCAATGATTGTGACGTCCTTGTTGCTCCACAGTCCACGAAGAGAGAGCATTTGCAAAGGTACTTTGACAGTTAAGTTAGAGGGGAATTTAAGTGAAGAATTAGGGTTAGTTAGAATGATTGTAACAATTATTGATATCTCGATGATTATGTGCGAGATTTATTACTTGGATTCATTGTTTCTTTATTGCTCTTTGTACTAGTGAGACCATTCGGCCACCAGGTGGCCGATATCCTATTGACACCCGAACGACCGAACCAGGTAGTCGATGACTGATCGGCCACCAAATGCTACATAAACTCAGATCCCTCATAATCAAGAGTTAAGGATTATTCCTAATCAAGGGTTAAGAGCTAATCACATCAATAAGCCGATTATAGGCGTATTACCTAATATGGTAATCTTGTTGCAGGGCCCATGGGAGTCAGGGCCCATTAATGTCAGTATAAATAGCTCATGTCACGAGGTAACGTCACTGTTCATTAATTGCTATCGATATTTGTGTTTGTCCTGACTTGAGCGTCGGAGTTCCTTTTGCAGGTGCCCTCCCCCTCGTTAGAATATTCGTTTGGAGAACTCGTTCGACCCACAAAAGATAAGAAAGTTACTAGTGTTCCCTTCAGACAGGTACATTTTGGCGCCCACCGTGGGGCCCGAACCCACGACCACAAGATCCTTCGTGGAAACCTACTCAGCCAACCAACACGCAAACCCAAGGGTCTTACCAATCTCATGATGTCCACACTTCGGCCCCTCACGCCTCGGCCATTGCGCTCGAAAAGTTCCCTTTGGCCTTGCCTACTGTCGGTCGTTCCACAGACTTAACAACCATTGGATCACACCGGCACCCCTTCACACCCTCTATTATGCAATTACCTTTGATGGATAACTAGAAATCTCTACGAATTGATAAATATGATGGCACAACAGACCCTGATGAGCATCTTGACATTTTTCTTACGTAGGTAACGTTAAGCACCACAGATGACGCTGCTTTGTGCCGAATTTTTCCAACGTCTCTCAAAGGCAGGGCCTTGAGTTGGTTCACTCGGCTCCCCCCAAATTCTATCGACTCGTTCAACACTTTGTCTTCTCAGTTCACTATACAGTTCGCAACAAGTCATCCCCACAATCTGACCTCTTTATCGCTGATCAACCTTCGGCAAGACAAGAGGGAGTCGCTTTGGGCTTTCATGGATCGGTTCAACAAAGCAGCCTTCGAAATTCGAGACCTTAACCCCGCCGTAGCACTCCATCACCTCACAACGGCTTTAAAGCCGGGGCCGTTTGTCAATAGCATTTGTAAGAAGCCTCCTTCGGACATGAACGACCTGTGAAGAAGAGCAGATAAGTATATGCAAATGGAAGAGTTAGCTGAATTTTGCAACCAAGAACGCACCGACAGCCTGACAAAGACCAAGAAGACAATTGAACAACCATTTCGGGGTCGCAATAAAGAAATAATGCTTCGGGGACGGCCCGTGCGTGGTCCTTAATACTCTCATTACACTCCCTTGAATGCAAGTTGGGAGGCGGTACTAGAGCAAGCTCTTGCGTCTGAGGTGTTGGCAGTTCTGAAGAGAGCATCCACTCCACCACGCGCTAATACCAACAAATCTTGCAAGTATCACCGCAATCGTGAACACTCTACTGAGGAATGTGCCGCACTAAAAGACAAAATTGAAGATTTGATTAAGTAGGGACAGCTTCAGAATTTCGTTGATCAGCCAGACTCATCTCGGCATCGGTCCACATATCAATCTCGACACCATGACCGGTATAGGCAAGACCGTCTTGAAGGGCGTCGGCGTGAACGAAGCAGATCACGAGACAGGAAAGACAAGCCCACAACTTCACATAGGCGAGTCATTAACACAATCACAGGTGGATTTGGCGGAGGAGGCCCAACCTCTTCAGCCCAAAAGAGACACTTATGCGCCGTTCGTTCGATCCACGCTGTTGACAGACAGCCTGCTCGGAGACTGCCAACTATAACTTTCACAGATGCTAATTTCCAAGGCATTGACCCTGTGCAGGACGATCCAATGGTGATTAGTGTCAAAATTCATAATTGCATAGTCAAGAAAACATTGGTAGATCAGGGCAGTTTGGCAAATTTCTTATACTGGAATACTTTCAAACAGTTGGGTATCTCCGAGAAGGAGCTCATTCCATACGATGATCCCCTGGTTGGCTTCTCAAGAGAAAGGGTAAGCACTAGGGGATACATTAAGCTCTTCACTCATTTTTGTTTTGATGGGCAGGAATGTAGGGAGATTGAGGTGAAGTATATTGTGGTGCAAGCCAACACATCCTATAACATTCTTCTCGGTCGACCATCACTGAACATCTTGGGGCAATCGTGTTGATGCCACATTTGGCAATGAAATTTCCATCTGACAAGGGGAGGATCCTTACAATCCATGCGATCAGAAGGCGGCTCGAGAATTCTATTTCGCTAGCTTGCGAATAGCTCCCATGGAAGAAAGGAAACCAAAATCAAAAAGGGTTCACGTCATGAACCCTTCGGCATCAGATGAATTGCCAGTTTGGGATCTTGATCCGAGAATGAATGACAAAGAGCACATAGAACCAATTGAAGAAAAAATCCCGCTGCAGATCGGATCACATTCATCTCAAGTAACATACATCAGCGCCGATGCGTTAGAGGAGGATCGTTCTGCCTTAAGCAACGTTATTATTTGGAACAAAGAACTTTTTGCATGGACACCGTCAGACATGCCCGACATAGACCCAAATTTCATGTGTCACAAATTGTTGATATGCGTCGAAGCACGACTGGTAGCTCAACATAAAAGGAAAATGGGAACTGATCGAAAACTCGCAGTCAAAACAGAAGTTGCAAAACTGATTGATGCTGGGTTTATTCGGGAAGTTCAGTACACTACATGGTTGGCAAATGTGGTCATGGTGAAGAAGCTGAACAAAAAATAGAGAATGTGTACTGACTACACTAATCTCAATAGAGCATGCCCAAAGGATGCTTACCCACTGCCAAACATTGACCGATTGGTCGACGGCGCATCAGACCACAAAATCCTCACCTTTCTTGATGCTTACTCTGGATATAATCAAATCCGCATGCATCCTCGTGATGAAGAAAAAATAGCCTTCATTACCGATTTGACTAATTATTGCTATCGAGTGATGCCTTTCAGTTTGAAGAATGCAGGAGCAACTTATCAAAGGTTGATGGATAAAATTTTTCGACACCAACTCGGCAGGAATATGGAAGTATACGTCGACGATATGGTCATCAAATCCGAAACCTCGCCCAACACATAGCTGACCTTTCAGAAGTATTCCAGCAACTACGCAAATATGACATGCGGCTAAATCTAGAAAAATGTGTGTTCGGCGTATCTGGTAGAAAATTTCTCAGCTTCATGCTGTCGACAAGGGGCATCGAAGCCAATCCTGATAAATGCCTGGCGGTCATCAATATGAGAAGTTCCCAGAATCTTAAGGAAGTCCAGAAGTTAGCCGGACGACTCACATCTCTGTCAAGATTTCTCCCATGCCTGGCCGAAATAGCAAAACCTATCATTGGTTTGTTGAAGAAGGTAAAGAAGTTTGAATGGTCTGTCAGTTGCGAAGAGGCTTTCCAGGCGTTGAAGCAGCGTCTCGGCTCCCCCCCAATTCTCTCTAAACCCGATCCTCGGGCAGATATGGTTGTGTACTTGTGCGTATCAAATGAATCAATCAGTGCCGTTTTGATA